ATTTTCTCGCTTCAGAATCTACCTTCTTCGATGGGACTTGAACATTCGTTAGGAGCTGGACACTAAGACTGTGTCAAGATCCCTCTACCCCACATTGGACCTGGACAATGCCTGCAAGAAAATAGACAGAACCCGCAATGATGTGAAACGGGTACGGTATTTTCATAGTAGAAGAGCTTACAACAGACGCAAAGTGTTGTCCTTAGTGGATTGACAATGACATTGACATTGATTGACAAAGAGGGAAATCTATATCGTTGTCGCTAACTTGTGTTTTAATAAATATCTTTTTTAATCTGTGTAAGTAGTAATATGAATGGAACTTCCTGATGAATTGCAAGTTCAAACTGCACTCCACTCTTGTATTTAATAAATAAAAAAGTTTCACTTGGCACTAGCCCATGAAGACAATGCAACCTTATGGTTTTTATTTTTATTTCGTTTTGTTTTCCCATAATAATTTCGATCCTCTATTGTTAGGTTACAGCTATTTCAGAAAGAAGCGGAGCCATCAAAGTCGGCTGGTGCAGGTGCCAAAGGCGAAAAGAGTGCACTACCTAGTGTCACTGCAGTGCCAGCGGATAGTTCAGAACCGATCAGTGCTATTGTTGTCGAGAGCACCACTCCCCTTCCAAAGTCAAGCAATGTAAAAACAGCTACTACACCTGCGAAAACACCAGAGGACCGAACTCAAAAGCCTTCTGTCGTAGAACCTTCTAGAACTACAGAAGAAAAGAAGAAACTTTCGAAATTAACTGAACGGACACAGCAATCGAGTGTGAAAGCGCCAATCGTTCCAGCTAAACCACAATCAAAAGAGAAATCCGAAGGTCGAAAGAAGAATATGGGCGGCGCAGTACAGAAGCGTACATCTGGCGAACGTACGAAAATCTCCGCCGAGAATATGCCTCTTCTTCCTTCGAAAAGTCCACAAAAATAATGCATACTGGTGTGAATGCATTGATTATATGCTTTGCTAACTTTCGCCTTTTATGTTTAATGATCTGCTTGATATGCAGACTTTTATAAACTTTGAGTATTTTATGCATAAATCAAAGCGAACATTTATAACTAGTGAGTCAAGGCTAGCGCTGGCCCTATTGTCTATATGCCTTCCTCGTGCCCTCATGGTGACGGCTTTGAAACCCACCATGCGAGGCTGGCCATCAGAATTGTGAACAACTGCTCATTCCATAAGCTTTTCCTTTTGGGTAGAAGATCAAAAGAGAATTTCATTCAGTTATTGAAGTTATTAATGTTGGATAGTTTACATGAAAGACAGCCACTTTTTGCCTACATTTGTGAGCAGTATTCTTCACAAAAATCAAGTGAAACCCTGATAGGTCTATGCAAGTTCTTTTTGGCGCTAACTTCACGTAAAAATAGGTCTTTTGGCAATTTTTGGGCTCTACGGTCTGCGGACTTACTTGTTAAGCAAATCCACTACTTCACAAAGAAGGTATGCCAAAAGTGGCTAAAACCGTTTGACGCGCATTTTCAAAGGTTCCAGTTATCAGATTGGCTTGTGCTTTTGCACATTTACCTACGCGCTGATAGGGTGCTATTACCAAAACTTCAGCTCAAGATATTGACTACAACTCGCTCTATGAATTTCGTGACAGACGGATATACACACTCACAAAGACAGACAAACAGAGACGGTCTAAGCGCTTTACTATTAAGTAATGATAACTTTTTGGTTGAATTTTGGTTTTGACTCTAGCCAGGAGAAGATCGTCGAGGATAAGATAAATGGCTGAGTTTTTTGTGTGACAACTGATCGAATTGCCTTAGCCCTCTAGAAGAATTCAAGTCTGGACTCATCCACTACCGTATCCCTCCTAGGGGACAATCAGCGCTCACTACCGTACCGGGCATGAGTGGGTCACCTTCATGGCGGGGGGCGGAAGTTTCTCACCCGAGCCATATTCTCGCAC